TGCATGGTAGGTGATATAGTAACTTAATGCTGGTCCGAATGACAAGCTAAAGTGGATTTATTTCAGGAAACTGATATGACGGTAACTAAAGAATGATCGTCTAGAAATGTATAGATCATCTAATTATGAACTGGAAAGGGAAGCTTCCAAACAGGGATTACTTTAGAATTACATACCAAATCTAGCGCACACCTGTTGGACTTGATTCTTCTAGATTATATTCTATCTTCATATTATGTTGTGAGCTAACCTATAGGTTCAGACGTATTGCATTTGAAACGAGGATTAAATTATTACAGTTCCTGACTAAAAGCCACGATGATTAAGGTAATTCCGCAGTAATTGTTCCCGAAATGAGAATGTGCTGAAACTTCCCAGGCATGGAGTTTATGATATACTTAAAGTAAAATCACACAAAAAAGTTGGGGTCACCGAACTCGTCAAGAAGATATGACAATCACAATATACCACATTTACTCCAATATGGCGCCATCTTGACGCTCATTACGAGTAACAGCAAACTCACAACAGCCCGATATTTATTGACGTTTTTAGCGCGGATTTTGCATTAGTAAACCTATCTTGTAATTATTGTTGAAAAAATATTGTGTTTTGAGCAAAATGAAACTACTAACGTGTACAATTCTGATTCACAAATGTCGTTTCCACATTTCTTTACATATCTTTCTTTGAGAACATGCATTGATAAAGGATTTTTTTCAAGATCCAGAAATGATTTTTCTTTTAATTTCGGATATGAAATGTAAAATGCATTAAAGAAATAAATTATCAGTTAAAAAACGGGGGTCACCGATCTTTTTAGGGAATTGTGGCATTAAAACGTGAAATACAAGTAAATAAATATACTACAGACACAGGGAACCCCAGCTACACTTTTGCATGCCTTTTTTGAAAACATTGATTTTAACGTAATTCTTTGCACGAATGTAACCAAAGATGTTTTGAAGTAACATAAAATTGTCATAAAATGATTTTTTTTAAACGGTGTACGTATAATGAATGAAATTATAAGTTATAAGATGTGCGCAGTAAAAGTGCGCAATGCAAAACTGCGGAATTACCTTAATGTGAGAATCAATGAAAATGGTACAGCTCGGCATGTTTTCGTGGAAACGACAAGAACTAAGAATCAGAACTATTTAGAATGGTTTCTGTTTTAGGACGAAGTTATATCATTATAGGTTAGATTAGACAGGTTAGGTTGAAAGGTAAACCTTGCCAAGGAAATGAGAGAATAGTAATCTTGAAACTACAGTAGTCTTAATCTTAGCTAGAAGTCCTGCCATGTAACCCTAAGAAATTGAATGAAAATTCCCCCAACAAAACCCAACTGTGATGCAGAAATCGGATTGAATTTAATATCGTTGTTAACTAAATGTATGAAAACATTGGCATTGCTTTGATAATTCCCATGTTTTCTATGACTCGGCATGTTGCTCGTAATTATTTTCTGACAAAACAATGCATTTCCTCGAGTGTTTGCAATAGTATTCGTTTATTTACCGTGCAGTTAAACAAGCAAGTCAAGTTGTAATTAATTTAGTCGTATTTTGGTAGTCATGGACATGGACATGGATTTAAAGCAAATATGATCACACCGCAAAACTGTTTGACTCTTGCCTGTGTGTACATTGATGCATATAGTTACATAACTAGTTTAATAATCCTCACAGTTAGTTACGCAGGTTAACCGCTTTTTAAGAATGATTAAATGAAAAGTGTCTCCATGGGTACCATGGATCATTGCGCCATAATTATTTTTCTGGAGCGATATTGCCGCTTGGCCTTGGACAGTTATTATTAGTCAGTATTATAATTTTATTGCCACAGAATATAACAACACAAAATTTAACATCATTCTATTTGTTTGAGCTGATGCTTTTATCTACAAATGATACCATTGCTTATTGAAACTAGCCTGGGTACGGGGCAGGGCAATACGCCAGACCGCTTTGATATTTTTCTCTGTCTATTCCACCTGACGATTTTTCTCAATTCAGGAAAAGGTTTTTGCGCGTTAATCGTTAACCAGACAATTGAATGAGTTAGAGATTTATGTTTCGCTGTTTATGAGGAATTTGTCAGTGGAGGTTCCATCAAGGAAAAGGGAGCTAGAAAAGTGGGGATCTGGAGTCTATCCCCAGAAAACTGTTGTATTTTTAAGCCTCTGGGACTTGATTTTTGTCCATTTTAGACACAATTTTCGATATATATCATACGCTAGGATATCTGCACATAGATTTCCAGTTGAAGTCGGTCGATATGCTAATATTGACTATACTGAGTTACGCCTATGTGGAAACATAGTTAATATAGAAGACCAGGTGGAAACTTACCTCCACCCCCATTCTGTATGTTAAAAGAGGTTCTGGGATAAGGCTGGGGGTTGGGTTCGAAGAGGTCAAACTCATTTGATATGTCGATCAACGATAACAACAATTGTTTGTGACAGGTGATAGACTTTGATGAAGTGCAGTAGGTGTATAGGCACTTTGCTCGTTTGCCATATCTAGTATCCGTTTTATAGAAAGGACCAAGATATATTGGAAACCGTACTCAAATTTGTACTATTTCGTCTTTCGCGTTCATACGGGACGCGTGAAACCGGAGGAATTGGAGCACAGGTGCGAATATCCCCGTGTGAATGAGTTGAACTGTGCAAATTTAGGCACAGTAAATTAACAGCGTTCTCTTAAACATAACATCTGTTTGCATGTATTTCAGGTATTAGCATTTGGTTGGTCACCTATTTGGCCATGTATTTTGCTGTATTATATTGGTACTAAAATAGTATTACAAGCCCCCTTATAATCCAATGATGATGTACAAGTTGAAGTTAAATGTACATTATACGTATTAAATGTACCGTATATCCTGGTTCAGATATTCATGTTTTATCACTTTATCAGTCTCAGTTTTGTCTTGCGTCACTGTTGATATATAGAAGCATCGAGAAGCTTGAGCATTGTATAATATCCGTCCCCACTGTAATTTAGCCAGGGGCAATTGATTTTGCAATTTGATTAAAATCAAGTGCCTTGTCGAGACGATCTTTTAATAAATTGCTCATCTGGTGATACTTGAATTTCATAATGACCGCTTGTCCATGTAAACAGTTGCCCAGGGTCCCATGTGCAGTGCTGTCCTGGTTAAATTGTTCACGCGGCTGGTCAGTTTTCCAGGTTGCAGCCGGTTAAGTGCAGGGTAATGCTATTATGATGATTGAAGAAGACGATAAAATCTTCAAACTTACTCACATCCAACTCCCAACCCTAACCAAACTGCAGCAACTTGAACCTAATAACTCAACAACAAGTGAACAACTTGCAACCTACAGAACGTGCCGGCCCTATTTAAACCACCATGCATGATAACCATCAATTGTCGGCAATTGTAATGTTTTGAGTTGCGAACTCTCCAGAGGAGAAAAGAACTGTCAAGCTAGCTCTCAAAGGATGCTATTTCTGTGCATGTTATACTAGCATTAGGATGGCAGATTAGAAATTTTTCAAATTTTCAAAGATGAAACGAGTTCAAATAACTGCTTAGACTTAAAGAATAGTTTTGGATCAAATTGAACCCTGGTTGCAGGTATAATAAAGGTACAAATGTTGTATACTTCATGGTATAGTCTTGAACGGTCGTACCAGTGTAGGTAGTGGCAATAATAAAGAAAGGTTCAGTCGGATTGACATCTACCTGAAAAATACAAGGAGAACTTCGACGTTTCGAGCGAAGGCCCTTCGATCGTCGGTTCTTCCTACTAACTTCCCGACGAAAGCACTGTTTGGTGTTTTCACGTACTAATAGCCTTAAAGGTTTAAATCTAATAGGTGAGATTTACGTGTTTTTTTTTAAATATTACCTCTGTGTCAATGATAAAACACAGGTGGATGATACATAACAATAACCGACCATTAAGTTTATTTAATTAATTTAAACAACAAAAGATACCGTAGATATGATGTTCAATAATCAGCTTTTGCGCAGGTCTTGGTGTAGTGGTGCTTAATATATACATGAGTAAAACAAAATATCAATTTTAAATGTGAAACTACAGGGTATCAAAATAATTTCGCAATCCAAGTTTGAAATGCTATCTATAACTGGGACACAAAATCGATTTAATCATCTTGCAGTTGTAGAAAAGTACTTAATATTCCACACATTTAATATTTCGTTTAAATTAGAGAATTTAGAGAAAAGTAAAGCGTTTTAATACCAAGTGCAAGGCTCTGTTCACACGGGATAATTTCACAAGCACGGAAGCTGCACTACGAATTCCCGTGTGAATAATGCAAATTTATTTATGAAATCGAACGAATTTTCGTATGCGGTTTCGAGATTCGTCCGGTCTCGTATGAACGATGCTTTGTAGGTTATATATATGCATAATATACGTTAACTGAGAATGTCACAAAAATGGCGTTGGGTTTCAAATTCAACAAACCTTTGTAGTATTGATCGTATTGGTGGTGGCTGGCGATTTTAGGGGTTACTGTGATAACATACAAACGTGTTACTGAAATTGACATTTTGCGCCTTTTTATGAAAAGGCATCCTGGATATACAACGCAGATATCATTTATACACGAGTGCATTAGCATAAGCTTTTTATATTATACTGCTGTAGTTTGACAAAGCATGAGTTTGCTCAAAACATAAACACGTATTTTGATATCTTATTGATCGTACTTGTCGGTTGAAACTTTGCCAAAGCCAAAGGTCTGCCTTATCTCTGGCGCGTATAAACTAGGCTGCAACACAGTAAATCTGTGGGAAGCCAAGGAACTCTGGCGGCAAAAACAACTCGATTACGCTGTTAGTAAATTCAATGCCCAAAAAACATTGTCCTGACCCACAGCAGGCGACTTTTTATCTTAATTACTCCAGCTACAGAATTAATTTGAACAATAGCGGGCATTAAAATTGGTGAGCAAGAACTACAACACAATGTAAGAGGTTAGAAATACAGCAAATACAGAAGTGACATTGTTTAATGCATAAAAATAGTTCATTTTACGAATAAAATCTATTTACAAAGAACAGCATCGTAAATTGTTGTGATTTCGTGCTTTCAACAGATTCTGCCTTATTCATTTGATTTGAGCCAAATTGTATATACGCACTAACCTACTATACAAAGACTATGATAAAACAATGGCTTTATAACCAATATATACAGCATGCATTAGCCATTAGTCTATTATAGAGAGCACTCGATCATTAAAAATATTCATCTGCTACCTTGGAAATGTACAAATGATTAGAAATGTTGCATCATTAATAAAATATAATTCCACACAGTGTGATAGAAAATTGAGCACAAATATGAATACCAATTAAGCCGACGCACCGACGCTGTTCTGTTCATATGAATCGTCGATTCTCACACTGCCCGTAAGTTACGAGTGTTTAATATATGAGCGTTTAATATCAATTGCCATTGTCCGAGACAATAGAAGCAAGTTTATTCTATTATGGGTGCGGCTTTAATTAACTTCGAAATGAAAATTTGAAAAAAGTCAATGTCAAACAAAACGTTTGCTAAAGACAAGTCGGTTTTAAGTTTCCTTCCTGAACCAAGCGACGTTTTGTTTAAACAAGCTAGAAGCTCAAGTAATGTGATATACGCAGTCAAGCGGCACGAGCTAAAACGCCACTGTGATTCTTTGTCAGAATATTAATCCCTAACACTGAACGTTAGAACTTATTATAGACGTATAATAGTTCTTGTATATGTTGTATGTAAAGCCTATATGATAAAGCCTAGTCTTTAATAGCTTACTCATGCAGCTTGAGTGGGAAAGATGTGACAACCGAATGAATTCAAATTAATAGTCGCCCACTTAACGGATATTCATATTTCGCCAATCTACAGCTCAGAGATTTAATACGAAAATATTTCCTTTCATTTTATTTCGAGATCCCGTCTTGCCGCCATTAACTTTGACGTGTAGGCACTATATTTGTTCCAAGTGTCAATCATTCGGGAACCAAATCGTTAAACCCAATTTAAATTACTTAAGAAACTGTCGATTTTGTTAGGTGGTCCTAGAGCGGCCTCAACGTCGCTCAACATGAAGTCTGAATTAATTTGATCAAGTCCAACTCCTAGATCATCAGTATCCATACCTATCACTGAATCAGTACCGTCCATTAAACCTACATCAACGTTACTGCTTGGCATTAGATCAAAACAGTCCGGTAGTTGTCCTGGTCTGAGGTTATTGTTGTTGTTGTTTTGTTGTTGAAGGTTTTCCTTTGATCCGAAGTTCTCGTGAAGACTTTCATCGAAGTTTCCACTCACAACATCGAGATCGGAGCCAGGATAAAATGTACCCAGGCCAAGTCCGGAGTCGGCCGACTCCTCTCTGATATGCCGACTTGTAAGAGTCGGTTGTGGTTGTGGTTCGTTGTTGGGTATACCCATAAATGCTTCACGACTTAAATTCATCAACATAGAGCTACTGTCATCCTCTTTTGTAAGCAAACCACGCTTAATAACGATTTCTTGTTGTAGCAGTTGTTGTTGTCTTCGTTGTAGCATCTGTTTCTCCATTTGCAGACGATGTAGCTGCAATTTATCAATGCCGTTATTATGAGCTGGTTGAGCTGGAGGAACTGCAGTGCGATTCTGACCTGTGTTCATACTCGATAGACGCGGGTCGACCCAACTTGTCGATCGATTCATGTGATTGATATAATATAACTCTCGGCCCGGAGTTATTGCTTGTTGCCAACCGTCAGTAAACTGTTGCTGGTTTGCAGTGAGATTTGATGTTGATCGCGTCTTTCGTGGATCTTGCCATGTCGTAGATTGATCCATATGACTGTAAATGAAAGAATAATTTGTGTTTATATTTTATTGCCCAAGGGATGTTGCTCGCAACCTAATAGGTTTTTACACCCCCTCGAATCATGTACGTGGTAGTACCACTTTTATAGTAACACTTTCTAATACTCCTTTCTCTCGCTGATGACTGCGACTACCTCTGATGATTTAGGATTTTACTAAAATATAGTCTGCCGTTTGACCCTTAGCTATATGATAATGCACTTAGAAACCAAGCTCATAAAATTACGCTAGTAATAACTGCTCAAGACAATTGCTCAAGACTAGACAACGTAATAGTTATTACAGTGTGATTCTATGAGAATGATGTAATAAACGACGTTCCTTTAAATCATCAACAATTCTTTAAAACCTTCGTCATGTTATTGAAGCAAGCGCCATATTTCTTTGTTTGTCAAGTGTAGATTAGCGCACCGATATACGTTTACTAGACAACTAAATCTCTACTTCGTACGAAGAAATTTTGATTTTATTACGTTTTATAAACATCAAAGCTATAAGTTGCTAAAATGCCACCAACTTTACGATCAAATCGTCAAATATTGGTGAGAGTCTTTAATAAAACGTTCTAAATTATGCTGGTACTCAAATAAATCGTTTTGAGAACTTCCCACATATATTATGTTAGTGTATTAGGTCGATTGTTCAATTACGAACGACTTAAACACATTTACAATTCACGATTCACAATCTTTGATTTGCGCAAAGTTTAAACAGCTGGTGTTTGAAACAGAGGCTGTAATGAAATTCAGTGTTAGCGATTTACTTTCGCGATTGATGTTGTATTCTTTATTTTGCCGATATAAATATTGAACAAGTTCAAGGTTGGAACTTACTTCATAAAATATTTTTGCCCATCAGATGTGGTAGCAGCTTCCCATCCTGGCGGCAAAGGTCCAACTACACCAGTGTTCGTTTCACTCGCATCGTAAGACTGAGATCGCATGTGTAAAACTTGCATCGGATTCACAGCTTTCTTGCTTGATTTGGGAACAGTAAGTGATGCTGGCGATGAATGTGCTCGTGAATGGGCGATCACAAGACCTGTGCCTGGGTTAATTTGTGGTGGTGGTTTCACTTCTTGCCTTCCTTCTATATCCCCTGGACCGGGTGTAAAGAAAGATGGCGGTAGTTTTCTCATGCGCATTGGCAAAACGGGTTCTTTCTTTAATCCTACCGTTTCGTTAGGTCGAATAACGCGAAACAACGCTTCGAGATCGTTTTCTGAATCTCCCTGTATATTTACAACTGCCTTGTTATCTTTCAGGGCCATTTTGATCCACGTCCTTTCTCTTGCTCGTAGTTAGCAATGTGAAGTTGTCTGGTGTGTTAAAAGGAAGCAAGTGTGTGGGTTAGCACAAACGATCTGTATACAAATACGCCAAATCATTACTCATCTAGGTGGTGGTCACGGGTGTGAACTGACGTCACATTAGCCTTTTGGGATGTCGTTTCCATAACGACAACCAATCCTCAGTGTCCTAAATATATACCTCATTGTCTTAAAGGCCCTAATAGTCAAAAATAAAGTTTCTTTTCTTGGTCTTTTATTAGCGTGTCTCGGCAGAAGCGTCGAGCAAGTAAACAATCACATTAGTGTGAATTTTGTTAAAACACGCTAAAGACAACTTACATTGATAGGCGTAGGAGTTAGGAAGAAATTACTATAACTAGCTTCGAAGTAACAGGGCAAATTTCGACTCATTTCTAAGCGCTTAGTTTGAAAACATTCAGTATAACATAGTTACTTCATAACCCTTAATTCTATAGTATTATATGCGATATTACTTGACATGCGTTAACACTGCATCAAATTTAAAATTGTGAGGTGCACTTTGCTCGCCGCGGTGTCATCTAACTTTCATGGAGACATGTTTGACACAATTTGAAAAGAATCGGATGTGAGGTTAATAGGAATAATAGTCGGTATAAAAACCTGGGGCTGCGTGTTGTGTAGAGCAAGTGCTGCATTATTGCGATATTGTTACGGTAATAATAACGTTGTATCGCTTGCACTGACGCTATTAATCGTTTTATCAGTAACGATAAATGAAGCCGCCTGTACGGTTCGTGTCCTCATGTAAGCGATGTTTACACGCTTTTCGAATCTGGCACCACACGTCGTCTGGCGTTAGCCGTTAGATTATATTACATTTACACCAAGATTGCTTTAAAGAAACTCAGTAAAATCTATCAGATACCTATCATTGACTGAAAATTGTAGCGTAAGGGTGTTTTATTAGTAAATACTGGTTTAGTCTTGTGTTATAGTGGCGGATAGTATATTTGCCATGTTTTCGTGATTTTAGCCCTGCTGAAGGGACAACCTGCCGTGAAGGTGTTTGTCATAGGATAAGAGTGTTGTTGGATGGAAATCATGTGTAAACAAGTAACTGTAATTTGAGCTTCTTATTAGTCAGTTTGCCGCCGTTTTTTCCCGCGTTACCAGCACACAAGCAAACAGTTTTACTATCCTGTTTCTTCGAGAAGCAACACTGTTACGCGCTAGTAATCACCAGGTTGAGCAACATGTGAACAGATCATGCAGATTAGATATAATTAGTGAATGCTCACCGCGGGTGTTTTGTTAGTTTGTCGTTAATTTTCGTCCATTCATAACTAGTCGATGGGAAAGTTCACTATCTTTATAAAAACAACAACAATCACGCATATATACCGTATGATCGATTTTTCTTGTCTGCCGTCCTGTGTGGTTTATAAATGGCAACAGTAAATCAAACCAGGCTAAAATGATTATGTGATAAAATGTTTTCAAACTGTATATTGTATATATATATATATATATATATATATATATATATATATATATATATATATATATATATATATATATATATATATATATATATATATATATATATATATATATATTAAAATTATTAAAATGGCGTTATATATATGCTGCACGTTTGTTTGGATGGGAATCTATATCAAAAACAAGAACATTGCACTGATCTGGTTTTACAAATTTAGCATTTTCATGGTCAAGCAAGTGAAGCCTTAATTTTATTTTCTCTCTAGGACTCGGGGTTTCAAACCTAAAAGGGCTCTATCGGATCTACAGAAAACTTATACTTGTTTATGTATACACTGTATGCCGTATTTATCGACACAGCGTTTTTATCAGGACAGTTGAATAAGATTTTTCTCTAATCCTTCTGACTGAATTAAACGAAGCAAACATCGGTTTCTTTGTCAAATTATCACAAAGTGATTCTATTCAGCATGGTATCAAAATATGAACATTCACCAGCTATTATATATGGCTTTATATGCTCTTTAACTAAATATTTCTGTCATGCACATTTTCCTATTCCTATTATATTTACATCTTCAGATGCAGCCACTACTGCACTTGCTATATCACTCAGCCTGCCTAATAAGCACCATATAGGTAACATTAATTTTTTATTAGTTTGTTTATTAATTTACATCTATATGTAAACAGAACCCATGCACCATTACCAAAAACATTACAAATCGAGGGCTTTACGTACAATTGTAAAATGTAAATGTCATCACGTTTTCGAATCATATTTCATAATGCTGAAGCAGAGTGTCGTCTCGAAAGGTTTAAAAGGCCATGTATTATTAGCATGATGTATCTTTTTATTACAATTTAATTAACAGTTTGCAGTCAAGCATGAGAGCTAACAAAAGAAGTCAGCTACCTATACACCCATTATCTGACCTTCCATCGAGCCTTTCATAATTTATTTTGCAAAACGTTTAATTATTGTTAACAAAATGGATGCTTTTGCTGAGAGAAGGGACATGATCTGCTTGCATGTCACCGAGACGTGCGTGATCGCTGGATCAGTTAAATGTTTTTAGACGTATTTTACTTAATTACTTCAAAAGGAACTTTATTGCGCTATTATTCCAAACCGTTGTCTCATGCCCTGTGGCTCCCAGCATGGTATTGCCAGCAGTCGATCACCACAGGTCATGCAATCATTATATAACCACTGCAATTTTTCTATATGGGTAGGTGTCCTATATTGACCACCATGTGTAAACAAATTTTCCACCATGCAAAAAAATTAAGTACTGCAAGACAAATACATTGTGAAATGAAGAAATGAATGAGAACACATGAGACATGAGATTGCATTCAGACGTCATTAATATAGCTTTGCCTTTGGCTTTTCGCCCGGAGTAATTGAAATGCAAATTGGACCGATTAACTTGTTGTTCTGCCCATTGTCAGTCTTCATCAATCTTATTACTCCTATAAACATATTCCAGGCAAGGCAGATCTAGGTGGTCAGTTAGCAATGGAGAAATATCCTTGTTACATTATAAACGTCTCGTTTATTCCTTCCTTTGAATGGAAAAGCTTGCGCAAGTGCGGCTGGAATCTTGAGTCGCTTAATTAAATTAAATTTTCAGAATATCCCGCATGTCAATTTCCGTAGCTTTTTTCTTATCCGCGCCTTCATTAAAATCTCTAACCCCTCCTTTTTTCATTTCGTCCCGTTCCCTGTTTCCAATATAAACATTATTTTGAAAACTCTGTTGTGGAGTAGGTACCCTTTGATACTGCGCTCACACGAGTGTGTACGGATTGGAAAGCAGATATATATTCAGACCAACTCAAATTTGCACAATTTTGCATTTCACACCGACGAATTCAAGTACGTAACTAACGGTACCAATTCCCGTGTGAACAAATGCAATCGGACGCCGAATTTGTGTGGTTGATGTTGTACGATTCCGTGAATTGTGTGGTCAATTCAGTCTCATGTGAACGTAGTGCAAATTTAATAGTGATAGTAGCTCAAATACTCATGCATATAATAATTCAACAATATCAGTGCAACTGGTCAACTAGATTCAACAAATCAATATTAAACAATTTTGTGCTGTTACTACGATGATATTATTAATTTTGATTATCCCCTCAGTGTTTTGATAAAATACATATTAATAAATTAATTTAAACGCGAAATTATTTCATTTTCATAACGTTTCGACAAATATTAAGTGATCATGACGAAAGTATAATATCGGCCCGGAAATCGAGTTTTAATTTTACTCCGAAACATGACGTTTCGACCGCTTGTAACATAATCACTATATACCTGACGAGTTTCCTTGACGAAGGTGGTGGCCTCATCATTGCATGACGCACCCATGATAATGAAACTTAGAAACTCGATATCGTTTTATCTCGATTTCACGGTTCTCAAAGCATTCCCACGCAGACACTTAGTGTGTGGTAATATTCCCTATTCGTTTGATTACAATCTAGATATTTAGGCTAAAATTTACTCGATGCAGCCTATTGACGTAATATATGGATCAAATTTCTCGTAAACGTCTTCATGATCAGGAACTTAGAATGGACAAGTGAATGCATGAAATGATGAAAAGTTGTGAACGTGATGTTGTGAAAATGAGAGAAATAGTTTCTCAAGAATATCAATTAAGACTGTAATTTTTCATCTTTTTGAAGTTATCATCAGACACCACTCTATCGGACGATGACGCTGAAATAAAGTAGAAAACTTACAGACTTTAATTAAACTCGTTTTCATTCATTCCTATCTTGAATTTGCTGGTTGCTTATTCATAACTACGTGAGTATTTAGCATACTTTTCATGTCTTCAAAAGTTATAAATACCATTTAATTATGTGCGTTATTTGGAAATATACGTTTCATCACGAATACCAGTCGATGTATGTGGATAAATTTTTCAGTTCCATAAATATTAAAGGAAGAGCATTCTGATTATTCTGTATAATTGTCAATCTTAGCCTTAGGGACTGTTTACATGATGGAAGGCGGGATAATTTTGATGTATTGAAATAAGTCACAAGAAATTATTATCAGTGCTGCTTGAACAACCTTTCGTTTAACTATAAACTATAATCAACCTTTCATTTAACTATAATCTATCTCTGGAAAATAATCACCGTCACTTATTTCATTGCATCAAAATCATCCCGCCTCACATCTCGTCCTGGCAAAGCAGGATCATATAAACAGCCCTGTCAGCCCCTTATTCAGCAAATTGCGCATGCCCTTGATCCCTTTGGGGTGAGGCAATTCTTTCCTTGCGATAGTAACCTCTAGTTTTGCCGGATAATTGTCAATTTGTTCACCTATACTCGCTGCAAAAGAAGGAGTCTTTGTTGTTCGAACGTTTGCCGTTTTTGCCATCTTTTCTTCTTTTCTTCTTTTTCATGCAGATACAAAATTTTCTTAGGTACAGATACAGCAACTGCAGTTCATAACTGTTTTTCGAGTGATTTTAGAGCGTATATTGTTTGGGGGATATACAGCATACATTTTCCCGAATATGTTTAATTACCTCGGGTCGGTACGAGACCGAGGTCATAAATTCGGCCCCTATTTTTTTTCCATTTTGTGTCGAGCCGCG